CCCGCGTGGCAGAGGCCGAGGGGCGACGGCGCGCTGCGTGTCGGGGCGCCGAGCCCGCGGCCACCTCCGCGGGCGACCGCTCGGGGTTGCTTTGTTCCTGCGCCACCGCTTTAGGATCGTTCTGGGGACCAGACGCGACCAAGGAGTGGCTGGGAGCAGGGACCGGGACGCCAGCGTCGGGGCCCCGCGCGCGCAGATTGGTATACCCGGTGGCGTGGCGGGTGAGGGCAGAGGGGCCCAGATTGCTGCTTGACGTCGTGTGCAGCTGCTTGAGACTGTTCCTCCCCGCCCAGCCTGACCTCAGGCCCGCAGCTGACTAGTGTGCGCCTAGGAAAGCTTGCCGTAGGGGCAGGTGTGACTTTCAGAGCGCGCCCAGCAGGGTCCGCGCAGGCCTCGGGGCGGGGCCAGTGTAGGGCTCTTCCCAGTGGTGCGATGAGCAGCCGTGGGGTGGTGTCCTAAGCCCTAGCTTCAACCTTTGGCACCGCTGCCAACTCACGCTTTGTTCTTAGGTGAGTAACTTCCTCTCTGAGCCAAGGGTGTCCCTTTAAAAAAAAATTAGTGGCTCTGCATCCAGGTTGAGTATCCAACACCTCTTAACTTTAAATCCTGTTAAATTTTTTCTTCCTTTCTTGTTTTGGGGTTTACTGGTTCAGTTCTATTAACAGTTTCCCATCTAGGGTGACCGATATGTGGTTAGCTGCAGTGATGCTGTGAGAAAGCCTTAACGGGCAGTCTGGGGAAAGTTCGGAAGATCCGAGGGAAACGAGACGCCTATAAACTGGAGAGACTGCCAGAGGTGGTATAAAACAACCAGAGAATTCTGTGAAACTCGATGACGAACAGATTTTGTTGCTGGCCTGGCGTGGTGCACACCTGTAATACCAGCAGTTTTGCGTGCACAGCCAAGAGGATCACAAGTTTGAGCCCAGGCTGGGTGGCTAAGTGATTTATAGATACCCTGTCTCAAAAAATTGAATAAATGAGTGGCTGGGGATGTAGCTTAGTGCGAAGGCCCTGAGTTCAATCCCTGGTACTGAAAAAAAAAAAAGCGGGGCGGAATTGGGTTAGAACTAGAACTAAAATAATTTTCTCCTTTCCCGGGATATGGCCTGTACTCCTTTTGGGATTTTACTTCTCTCCTATGTTCATTCAACCAACTCTTGGCCAATATTTTATCCTTGAAAGAGTATCCAAAAAAAGTAGAACTCTTAAGAGTCTAAGAAGTTCTAAGAGTCATTATGTATTCTACTATTGTATTTATAATTATTGATCATTTTTAGGAACCAGTTTACCTCAAAATACATACCATGTTTTCATTTTAATTAAAAAAATTTAGTTTTTGCTTTTTAAAAGACAAGTGATGGGATGATTTCATGTTTTTATTTTATGTATGAAGTAACTTACATGAAAAGAGCATGACAGGGGAAAGAGTAAAGGGTTTAGAGTTAAACGGAAGTGTTCAAATCCTCACTGCCATTACTGTTTCTCTGACCCCAGAGAAGTTACTTTTTGCTTAGTTCCTGTGTAAAAAGTAGAAAATAGAAATGTCTGTTTCAGCTGTTAGTGGTGCAGCCTGTAATCCCAGCACTGGAGAGGCCGAGGCAGGACTTCTGTGAGTTTGAAGCCAGCCTGCGCTCCATAGTGAGTTCAAGACGAGCCTAAACTACAGACAGTACCAAGATCCTGTTTCAAAAAACTAAAAAACTGGTCTTTTAAAAAATTTTCTAAAATTTTATTTATTTTGTCTTGTCTTGTTCTGAGACATGGTCTCCCTGTGTATTTGAGGCTGGCCTGGAACTCGATGTGATCCTTAGGTTTCAGCCTCCTGAGTGCTGGAATTACAGGTGTGTGCCACCACATCTAGCTCTCACTTTCTGATTCTAAATCTGTATCAATTTGTTTTTAAAAATAAGCTGTTTTCTAAATCAGTGCAATACTTTATTAGAATGATGTATTGAGAGTGGAATTACTGTATATAATGATTTATTTCTAAAAAAAATCATGGGGGGGCTGTGTTATTTTTGAATTAATTTTTTAAATTAAGCTTTAGGTATTTGTATTTATTATTTTGGCCTAGGAGAAACTATGGCACTGTAACCTTATCTTTGAAAATAACCACCACAATTTTGCAAGTGTTAGTTGGAAGGAGTATCTATGCCTCCTCGTTTAGAGATTGTGAACATGTTTGCTTACATAAACAAATTATGGCTGAAGCTGATACTTATGCCAGAAAGCATACTGATTATCAGTGTAATAACTTCTTCCTACACCTCTGTGGGATTGTGAGACCTAATAAATTATTATAGCAGTATTATATATTGAGGTCTGTGTTTCATTTCCCTAGAGCTGGCAAAGCATGCTATTTTGAACCCCCTTGGTCCTGCTGACCTGCTCATGTCTACCTTTCTAACACTTGTAACTTTGTACAGTAGTACCTTGGCACAGACCATTAATTGGTTGAGGAAGGTGTGCTGAGTACCAAAAAGGACAAGTATCAAACAAACAGTTATAGCTGGAAAGGGTAGCAAGTCATATGAGGCGATGACAACATCAAGTTCTAGTTTTCCTGACTTGTACCAAACAAACAACAAGTTTCAGCACAAAGTTTCTACACCAAACACATCGAGTACCAAATCCAACAAGGTCAGAGCAGATGAGTACCAAGGTAGGACAGTGTATGGGTGCTCTTATTTTGTTTGTAAGGTTCCTAAAAATGGGTTGTTGGATCAGAGATTATATATGTTTTTTATTTTAACTGGTAATTAGTCATCCAGTTTTGAAAAACATTGTATTAGGGTTCTTGAGGGTAACAACTATTAAGATACAGATACAGACCTAGATAATATAAGAGGGGGTTTAGTTTGGGTATCAGCTCGCACAATTACGGAGATCAAGAAGTCATAATATATCCATATGCAAGCTGGAGAACCAAGGAAGTGTGAAGGCCGGAGAATTTGCAGCTCAGGTGTCTGAGAGCAGAAGGTGGATGTTGTTTCCCCATCACTTCATCCTAACAGTTCTCAGTGAACTTGGTTGACGCCTGCCAGCAGTGGTGCAGGCTGATCTTTACTCAGTCTACTGATTCGCGGGCCAGTTTCTTCCGTGACACTCTCATGTACCTACCTGGAAATGTTTTACCAACCTTATGGGTATCCCTTAACGCAGTCATGTTGACACCTAACATCACACATATGCTAGGTATTAACATGATCTTACCTACTTCTCCTTTTTGGCTTACAGTACTGGGGATTAAACTCAGGGTTTTTGCACTGAGCTGTATCTCCAGCCAACCCTTTTTATTTTTGGAGACAGGTCTTAATAAATCACTAAGTTGCTCAAGACCGGTTTGAATTTGGAATGTCCTGCCTCATCTTCCCAGAGTGCTGGTATTACAGGTGTTGGCTACCACACCCAGGGTTGTTTTTTTTTTTCTTTTTTTTGATAAGGATGGTCTCACTATGGAGCCCAGGCTGGCCTCAAACTCAGAGGGGTCCTCCTGCCTCAGCCTTCCTAGTGCTGGGATTACAGGCTGAGATGAATAAGAATATGCTATGTTGCGAAAAGTTTATAGTCTACTGGGGAGACAAGGATGTTAATCAGTGGCAACTGTAGGTACTATATTGTGGTAAGTCCTATGGTAGAAAAATACCATGTATATCATTTAGATAAGGAATTTCAGCCCAGCGAAGGCTTGCTGAAGGAGCTGATTTGAATGGATCACTTGAGAAGAACAGTGGTGCAAAAGCAGCGTGGAGATAGATGTGGGGCGTGCGCAGCACTTAAAGCTATTGTCTTCCCATAGGGCAAGTGGAGGTTTCAGTTCTGAGTAAAAGCCTATGAGTAAAATGACATAAAGTGAGGCTCAAACAAGCAAATAAACAGAACTTCCTGAGGCTGGGTGTCGTGGTGCGTGCCTACAATCCTACCACTTGAGAGGCTGAGGCAGGAGGATCTTCTGTGAGTTTTTTGAACTACATAGTGAGACCCTGTCTCAAAAAACAAACAAATCACTTCCTGGGAGCAAAGTTTGTGCTACATCTGTGGGTGGGGTGACTTAGAAATTTTCAGTGTGGAGTGGAGATAGATACATACCTAATAGGATTGTATGATAAAAGTTGAGAAAGAATTCTGCAGATATTAAAGTTGAATTATAAATTATTTTAAAAGGATTTTATCTTTAGTTTTGCTTCTCCAAGGAGAGTGCAGTGTCTTTGTGGATGAGGGCTCTATCTTGTTCTATTTTGTTCTACCACAGGATTTTGGAAATGCCTACTTACTCTAGATCTTAGTTTAAAGATTCCTAAGTGTTTGCAGTTCATTATGCCCCGAAATGTCTCAGTTTTTTTCCCCCCAGCAACTCTTCTCCAAAAGAAATAACTGTGGTATTTTTTAAGTCTAGGCAGTGATTGATAAATATTTATTTTCGGGCAATTTGGTAGTTGGGGAAATGATTAAGACCAAAATGCTGCAATTTTCTTTTCTTTTCTTTTCTTTTTTGGTTTCTTGAGACAGGGTCCTGTAGTTCAGGTTGGCTTTGAACTCACTATGTAGCCCAGGCTGGTCTCGAACTCACTGCAG